ATAGGCAAAAGAAGAATAGGAAAAACGATGACTATTCAATAAATGTGCAGTGGTCTTAACCAAATAAATGCCAAATTGTGTCCCTCACTGTCCTTTTCTGTCCAAATCCAGATAATTTTAGATACTTTTAAAGTATTCTGACTTTGGGTGGGGGCTAGATTAATAATCCAATCACGCTGCAATGAAAGCAGGCAGATTGGACACCTGGTGGCAAAACTGTTAACCCCAAAGCTAGCTGTCCCGCTCACCAGGTGACCCATAGGAGAGAGATGAGGCTGTCCACTCTGGTAAAGATTAAACTCTTGGGCACCCAAAGGGGCAATCCTGTTCTGTTCTATAGGGTCACCTCGTGTAAGAATCCACTGATGGCAGTGAGTTTGTTTTTGAAGTGTAGATTACATTGAATATTAAAAGGAGCCCAAGATGTTCTGTATTAGATAGATATAGATATAGATATAGATAGCTACTGGATAGATATAGATAGATAAAAACTAATAACAGTGTTGTATTTTAAGTGCTGGACCTTTTTTTTCTCCCCTCAATATTTTAGTTCTGAGCCTTCTGAAGATGAAGATTCTCAAGGCCATCCTACCTTCACAGGTAGAAATGCTAATTCTGGATTGGATGACTTTTCAGAACTAGAAGACATTAAAGATGCTAAACTTCAGACTTTGAAGGAACTTTTCCCACAAAGAAGTGACACCGATTTACTTAAGGTTATTATACCCTTTTTATAGTAATTGATTCCTGCGGTTGTATTGATATATCCGGTACTGTAGTACGTGGATGGTCATTTTTTTAAGGACATATTTGAGGACAATTATTCAGTGTTAGATGAGCCAACATCAACTCCATGGCAGTGAGTTTAATATAATAACAGTAAATGCCAGAGATTTACTTGGTGAGTATCGAAGCTCATTATTTACCCACATAAAAATGATAAGAATCAGTTGAGCTTTAGTAGTTCACATTATTTTGGGAAGTTTTTTATGCTTGAGGTCATTCCCAACCCCACCCGTCCATCCCCATTTCTCTTTGGGAGCATATGGAAATGCCAGAGGGTTTTTAATCTCCATTATTACATGTGGTCATATTGAAATTTAGGGCCAGGGATATGAAATTTTACAATTTTGAGGGCAGTTCTTTTTTAAAACAAGAAATAGCTTAACAGATCTTTAAAAAAAAGTAACTCGTTTGAAATAGGAGAAACAATAGCATGAGAGAAATAAGGGATATTTGATAAGAGGACTTGAAGTACTTACTGATGAAGATCAAGCATAGCAGCCTTCAGTATGGGTTACGTCTCATTGTACAGAAGACTTAAATTCTCACAACTGGACCAATAAGTAACATCATGATAAATAGAGAAAAGGTTAAAGTTGTCAAGGATTTTGTCTTGCTTGGATTCACAAGCAATTCTCATGGAAGCAGCAGTCAGGATGAGTTACACTGGGCAAACCTACTGCATAAGACCTCTTACGATCTCTTTAGAGTATTGAAAAACAAGGATATTACCTTGAGGAATAAGATGCATCTGACCCAAGCCTTGGTATTTACCACTGTCTCCTATGCATGTGAAAGTCAGACATTGAATAAGGAAGATGAAGAATTTATGCATTTGAATTGTGGTGTTGGAGATGAGTATTGAAAGTACCATGAACTGCTAAAAGGGTGAACAAATCTGCTTTGAAAGAAGTACAGGCGCAGAGTGTTCCTTTGAGGCAAGGATGGCAGGACTTACATTGGACATCAGGAGATGGATGTCCCTGGAGAAGGACATCAAGCTTGACACGGGACGGGCAGTGAAAAAGAAGGCCCTTGATGAGATGGGTTGACACAGTGGCTGCAATAATGGGCTCCGGCATAGGAGTAGTAGTGAGGATGACACAGGACTGTGCGGTGTTTCCGTCTGCTCTTCAGAGCCATCTCCATGGGTCTGAACCTATTTGGTGACACCTAACAGCAGTTCTTTTTGAATTCCAAAATGTTTATTGAAACTTAGTTATGTCAATAATATATTAATTAGTATATTCTTGAAAAATCCAAGCAAGTTAGAAGTAGAGCGAAAAGTTAATGACCTCTTTGCCCCTATCATCTTGAGAAATACTAAATAAAAAATGAGAGCCGATCTCCCCACTTGCCCCTTTGTAGTCTGATGCACAGTATTTGGACACAGGACTTTCTCAGGCTTCAGTAGAAAACCTTGTGAGTAACAGAAGTGCGGAATGTACTATGCATGTTGGATTTTTACTTTTTCTTTCTAGGAAAATTAATTATTTTCAGATAAGAGTTACAGTTTAGGTAAGTCGAGTTTTCTGAAATGCTATTTTGGGACTTAAACTATGTGTTATGTATACATTTTTCCATGTCGTCCCTATTTAGACCCCTGGTGGCATACTAGGTTATGCATGTGCTGGTAACCTCAGGCTTGGAGCCCTTGGTGGGAAATAGTGATGAGGATGTTGCTCCTGTAAATATGTGATATTTCAGAAACCCAAAGAAGCAGTTCTATTCTGTCCTACATGATCACTCTGAATTAGAGTAAACGCAGGAGTAATGAGTTGTGTGTGTGTGTGTGTGTGTGTGTGTGTGTGTGTTGGGGGTGTGTATACATATTTAGCATCTTTGTTTTTAACTCTTCAAATAAATTGGGGAAATAAGTTTATAAATTTTTTTTAAGTTTATAATTTTTAAAGCAATCTTTTCTCATTGATAGTTGATTGAATCAACAAGCACCATGGATGGAGCAATTGCTGCTGCCTTGCTGATGTTTGGTGATGCAGGTATGCCTGATTTAATCTCAAATTTTGTTGATTTATATAATATCATTCCTCAGTTTTCATATTTCTCTAATTTACTAAGCATATCATATATTCTTATAGGAATTCTGTGAATTACTAATAGCTTCAGTGTTTTTGATGGAGATACTAAAGCTTAAGAATATTAAATTAACAATAATAATATATAATTGATCAAGGATTCATGGGGGTGAGAGGGTATGGGAGGGAGGGGAAAGAAGAGGAGCTGATACCACGGGCCCAAGTAAAAAGAAAATGTTTTGGAAATGATGTTGGAAACATATGTAGAAGTGTGCTTAATACAGTTGAATGATGGATTATTATAAGATTTGTAAGAGTCCCCCCCAAAAATGATTAATAAAATTAGAAAAATTTTTAATGTTAAATTACATGCTTGAGGTCATGTAGCTACTTAAAGAGTCAGGCTTTATAAGTTGAATCATTTTTACCAGACAAGGTCTGTTTCTCTTTGGCCGTTCTGTTTGATTTCTACAGTTGAGTTCTCATAAGAGTAACGTTTTGGAAGGTATCTTTTCTTTCCTAGTACACTTGTGGCTTTATTGATGGGTCTATAAACTTGAATTAGTAAGGACATTATATCTTGTGGCAAGTCTTAGCTTGTAATCAGCATTCCTTTATTTTGTTTACATTTATTCTTTATTTCAGACATGAGATACAGGAGTGTATTTGAAAGTGCTTGCAATTTTTTAGTAAATAATGTCTTGGGACTTTTTAATTGAACATATCAAAAAATATAACAAGTATGCCTATAATCTGAAAAACTTAGTGTAGGATAATAGTAAGGACTTGTTCCCTTCACCACTCATAAGTTTGTTTTTTTCTAAGTTTCAGCCTTTTCTAAGCCTTTTTCTAAGTTTACTTAGAATATAATACATATAATATATAATACATACACACTTAGACTGGTTTGTAGTTCAAAGAATCTGTATAGAACTTATTAATGAATAATCATTAAATTTAATGAAGAAAACTTATTAAAAACTAGAACTGCTCCATATGATTTCCCAGCCTATTATCCTTATAGAGGCAGAGTGTTACCTCTTTTATCCTGTAGAATAGCTTGTTGTTTAAGCCACCAAATTTCTGGTTAGCAGTCAAGTGCTTACGTACTGCTGCTGTGTCCAGGGCTCCTTTGTTCTAATTATTTTGCAGGAACAGTGAAGGATTGCATCGTTTTAATTCATTATACTTTTTGTAGAATAAATATAAAACTAAGATACTGAATCAAAGCGTGTACATTTAAAATTTTTTTAACACTACCTAATTATTGGGAGCTAATACAGATTATCATTCCATCCTTCAGTCACATCAAACAATGTTTTAATATGTGCTTCTTTGAAAGAGTTGTACCACATTATGGTCTTGTCATCAATGCGTGAGTGAATGCCCATCCCCAAATGGATTTCTTCTTTTTTTTTTTTTTCCTATTTAAACAGAAAATAATATAGTGTTTTGATATTCCCATCATCTCTCTTCAGTATTCTACCTCATTTTCTATCTCCACATTTAAGCCAAGGAGACATTATATGATCTGGGTTCTGCTTAAATGGAATCAAGGTTTTTGTTTTTAAAGGTTCTTTTTAATCTTTTACTTGCTAGCTCTTTGACCTTGGGGAACTTTATAGCTTAACTCTTCTGTATCTGTTTCTTTTCAGTAAAGTAGTATCTTATATATTTTTAGTATCATATTACTATTGATGGCATAGGTTATTTAAAGAAGTGATAGAGTTGGTGTACATTTCTTGCTATACTTTGTGGCATAAGTACTTCGTAAATGTTGTTATCTGCACTTAAAAAATCTGACCATCAAGTTGATTCTGAGTCATAGGGCCTTTTTATGATTAAAAATGATATAAGAAAAGATCGATTGTATCTTCGTATTTGTTACACTCCTACCTCTGATGTTCCGATTGTTAAGCACTTGTTTAATAACCAAAAAGTTTTTTGTTTTAAAAAAAAATAAACTTGTAAACAGCATCTTGGACTGAGCAATGTAGGATATCAGGCATTTTAGCATGGAACATCTTACACAAGGTATAGAATGACAGCTTAACATAATGTATAGGATGACAATACCAAGATAATGACAACCTACAGTATACTGTATCACTAAGATAAAAAAACCATTTGGGCAATTTTAGGACAATTTAAAACAACAACAACAAATATCTCTCTAAATACCTGTAAGGGACTGTGGACAGTACCATAAGTCATGACATTAGATATTAGCTTTACCACAAACCATAATCTTTTTCAGATTGTAAATCTTTATTGAAAGACATCAAAAAGGTCTAAGTCAATGGAGAGTTATACCATGTTCATGGATTAGAAGACTTATAATCTTCAAATTCAAGAGAAATTGTATAAATTTAATAGAAATTGAGTCAAAATTCCAACAAGTGTTTTTTGTTTGTTTGTTTGCTTTGTTTTAATGGAGAAATAGCTAAAAATAGTCAACATACTACTGGAAACTGGTGATGTTGAGGTGGAATTTGTACACTAATATCAAAATCCTTTTTTTTAATCTAGTAATCAGGACAGAATAGTACTGACATAAAGCTAGAATTTTATCAGTAGAGGCACACATAACATAAAATTACTTAGAAACTTGATTTATGAAACAGTTAATGCCATAGATCAGTGAGGGAAGTATAAACTTTTGGGGGCATGGAGGTGGGACAACTTATCTATGTGGGGGAAAAATATTGGACTTCTATCTCATACTTTTTACAAACATCAGACAGACTAAAGACAGATATGAGGGGAAAAACAAAAATAAAAACGTGAAACTTTGCAAGGCAATACAAAACAATATCCTTTTGACTTCAGATAGGAAATTGTTTTCCCCCTCCCAAGAATTTTTGTGCTCAACTTTATAAGATACTTTAAAAAACAGCAGCCATGTTAACTCCCATCAGAACATAATCAGGAATCAGTAAAATTTTAAACTCCCTAATTCCTCTCTGGAAAGAGTCCTTATAAAAGTCAACAGAGCCTTTTTTTCACTGCGTTGCATAGGGAACAGTTCCAGAGTTGTGTACTTCTTATATGAGGCCTGTTATTCTAATCATTCCCAGCGCACCCACTTTCTGTACCTGGACTCTTTGCCAACATCTGCTTTCCCTTTTCTCACTTGGGAAGTTTCTCATCGTCAAAGGGGGCCTTTTCAGGCCTGGGCTGTGGTTTAGGAGGGACAGGCCATGCTGGTCTTCAGGAGTAGCTTCACCTTCATTCACTTTGTCACCTTTAGCAGCCTTTTGTTTAGGTATGGTGGCAGCAATATTTGGCAGGTAGTTTCCTAATCCAAGGAGTCCTGGTGGCAGAGTGTTAATTATGCATGGGGCTATTAACGCACAGTCAGCAGTTCAAAGCCGTTCCTCTGGAGAAAGGTGAGGCTTCCTGCTCCCATGGTGATTTACAGCCCTCGAAGCCCACTAACAGGTCTTATAGGGTTGCTATGAGTCGAATTGACTCCATGGCAGTGAATTTGGTTTTGAACTTTTTGCTAATCTAGGGGGCACTACTGCCTCCTTCACACAGCGTTGGGAAAGATTTCAGTCGGAGTTGATTCAGTGATCTGGTGACTGACTTTCCAGAGAACTAAAGTTCAAGGCCTCAGAAGAACGCAGGTATACCTAAGCCCAATTTTTATGAGGATCACCCTACATATTTCTCAGTAAGGGTATCTTTATACAGAGCTTGCTTTTGTGTGCCTGGGAGCCTCAGTATCTGCTGTTGTATAACCTTTTGTGTATGTTGAACATCTTTCCATGTTATTTACTTATTTAATTACCTAATTATTTTATAGCCATGGCCTTTCATGGCTGTATCTTAGTTTAAGATCTTATTGATAGATGTTTTAAGTTCTTATTAAACATTTTAAAAATCATTTTACTTATTACCTTTTTGTATGTGTGCTTAAGCAAATGTTTTCTGTCAGTTCCATGGAAAGATGCCTAGAGAAGAACTTACTGGACTAAAAGACGCACACGTTTCAATTCTGAGATATGCATGGTCAGTCAGAGAATATTACCAGTAGAGTTTAGTTTATACATGCACAGATTTAATTCAAATGAAACATGTTGAAACATGTCTCTGCTGTCAGTGGATGGGGGTAGACAAGTTCTCTTGATAATTTTAATATCATTAGGTGTCTTCAAAAGGGGTCCAGCGGTGTACAGTGAGGATAGTTGCTTTTGAGAGAATTGACAAGGCCAATTAAATTCAAAGCAGAAGCTTTGTTTGGCTTTTCCCAAGGGGTTATCTTGATTGATTTTTCTCTAAGGACACAGGACAGTCATAGGAGTTTATTAAAATGGAGTTAAAGAAAATTGAAAACTGCATTGATGAGGAAAAGGTCAGGAAAGTTGCACAAAGGAGTGTTTATCCTTCATAGCAATGCTCCTGTAGAGGATTTATCAAAGGTTGGCCTTTGAGAAATTGTTTCTTCCCCTTTGAGTCTGTTGAAGAAGCCACATAACCACCATTTTGACATGGTGTACAATTCAGACTGCAGAGCTTTTTTGTGGAAGAGTTAGAAAGATGAAGACACTGCCTTAAGTGGATGGGCCCTGATGGACGATATGTCAAGAAACAATAGCTTCACCTTTTGATATTCTTGATTCAAAGGTTTCTATAGCAATACTTTGTTACTTACCCATGTGTTTACAGATTCCTTCTCAAAAAACCAAGCTCACTGCCATGAATGCTGTAGAACAGAGTAGAACTTCCCGTGGGTTTCCGAGACTAAATCTTTACAGAAATACAGAGTTTCACCTTTCGCTAGGAGTGGTTAGTGATTTTGAGCTGCTTACCTGGGGCTAGCAGCACAGCGTGTAACCCACTGTGCCACCATGGCTCTTAGATTCCTTCTAGAGAGGTTACACTAACTAATTCAGGAGCTGAAATAGGACTATTTGCCCATGGTCTTGCTGACCCACTGTTGTTGAGTCAAAATTCCAAGGCTATAAAACTTTATAGAAGCAGATTATTTCATCTGTCTTTCTTGTAGCAGCCGACCTCCCAGTAGCAGCTCAATATTGAATCCACTGCACCACCATGACTCCTTATGGTCTTCCTAGGATTGACTCTTTACCTTTGAAAATATTGGGCCATTTGAGAATTTATACATTCATACATACATATGTACATATTTTGCCTATCTTCATTTATTAATGAGATTGTATATCTTCATTTTGATCAAAACATTTGTGGTTTTTAATGTTTATGTTTTATACTTTTAAAATAATAACTTTAGATTGAATTTCTTTTTATACAACATGTAAAGTACAGCCCTTTTAGTTGTTTTTCTTTCCTGGGAAATGATGAGCAGTCCCAGTAAAGGATGAAATTTATAAAATTGGCAGGATTACTGTTTAGTATGGAATAGTAACTTATTCTCATATAAGTTTAAAATAAATAATTATAAGCAGACTGGATTTAGATTTGGGTACCTAAACATTGTGTGCTTTTATCAAAGATTTGGGACTAAAATTTTGGTTTTGCATTTCCCCACATAGTTATTCATTATTTAGACATTTTTTATTTGCCTTGTGGGCGTATTAGATATGCATGAAAGTGTTGCACCATATTTAAAATATATACGTGGGTATTTAAGATTGAAAAACGTGTAATTCTCTTAAGAAAAAATATAGGTCTGTCTAGCTGACTTGGAGTAAATCTTCTAGTTCTGTTTATTTTACTATTTTTTATTTATTTAAATTTATTATTAATTGGAAGTTAATGTATATATCACATTCCTTAATTCAATCACTTGAAGCAATATTGTACAGTTGCTACCACAATCAGTTTCTAAACATTCTTTTCTTCCTGGACTCCTTGACATTGTCTCCCTTGTAGTTCTCCTTTTTAAAATGGTTCTAAAAAATTTTTAGTTTAATCAGAATTCAGTTACTATATGAAATGGACCTGGAAAAGTAATAAATATAGATATTGAAATAAATTCTCATTTCTTATATTTTAAAATGTAAATTAAATCATTTTTATGTAGTAGCAGTAGATGACAGATTTAAAAGTTATGTCATTTTGAATATTTTATTTCTACAAATTTTATTGTGCAGGAGTAATGAATCTATTCTGATACAATTCTGACCCTATAGGACACAGTAGAATTACCGCATGTAATTTCCTAGGTTATACTCTCTATGGGAGCAGACCACCAAATCTTTCTCCTGCAGACCCACTGGTGAATGACAACCTCCAACCTTTGTTAGTCACGTGCTTTACTGCTGTACCACCACGGTTCCTTCATAAGAATTAAGATATTAATATAATAAAGGAACCTTGGTGGCACTGTCTGGTAATCATTTAAACCCACCAGCTACCTGCAGGAGAAAGAAGAGTCTGCCTGTGCTGGTAAAGATTTACAAAACCATGGAAACTCTCTTTGGGTCACTATGAATTAAATTCAACTCAATGGCATAACAAAAACCTATATTAGCTTTAACTGGTACTTCTGTAGTAGTACAACAATGTGCCTGAGTATTTTGTTCTCTGAAACTGAAACTAGTTGAGAAATAAGTATATATACATATAAAGTATGATAAATAACATCTTCATTTTTTTATGTAGTTTTTGTTGTTGAATATATATGTATATGAATATTTGCCAATTGAGCAGTTTCTACATATACAGTTCAGTGAGAGAGATTATATTCTTCAAGTTGTACAACTGTTCTCACCCTCTTTTAGGTCATACTTCTCCCAGTAGTGAACTCACTAGCTCCTAAATTTTCTATGTAATCTTTCAAGTGTTTGTCAATTGGGTACTAGTTGGGCTTTGATATTAAGGTTAGTAGTTCAAAACCACCAGCCACTCTGTGGGTGAAAGATGGGGGCTTTCTTTTTTCTTTTTAAATTCAGGGAGTGTACAGTTTAAAGACTTTTATGCCAATAGTTTCAGGGGTTCTTCTACTCTCAATGTCTCCCAAAAGGCTGCATTACAGTAGATTTATTTTTTCCCCCTGGAGTTTCCACTTTTGATCAGGATTCCACTATAAATTTTGATCAAAATATGCAGTAATGTTTTCTGGACACCATCTAGTTCTTCTCATCTCATAGTAGAGGAGACAGTTATTCATGGATGCAGCTAGTTACATACTGCATTTTCTTTCATGCTTCACTTTCCCTCTTTGTTGATAAAGGAAAGAAAGACCAATTATTGTGCCAGGATGGTCACTTGCAAGCTTATAACACCCTCAAGGCACTATGGAATGGACAGTAGTATCACTAAGTGTGATATTATTTCAAGCAAATGGAGGGTACCATGAAATCATGACCCCAGACTTCCAAACCAGGGAACCAAATCCCCAGAGGTGTTTGTACATTAGCAGCCTGAGCAGCTCTTGATTGTTTTGTTTTCGTCGTTGTGGCATGGCTTCTTAAGATCATGTGCATAGGATGTGTTTTTTATTTCATGATCTAATGTACAGATTTCTTGTTTTTGTGATTGTTTAACCTCTCTACCTCAGTTTCTCATTTGTAAAATGAAAACATTACTTCATTTGTAGGTATGTTTTGAAAGGTAAATGAAATTCCATGTATGATAGGCCTTATAAATGTAATAATTATCAGTATCAGTGACACTATTCAAGTTATCTACACTGACATTGACTCTCCCCCTACCCCCCTGTCAGTCACTGGGAAAAACATCTTCCCACCACTATTACTCTGTAGAATTACTCATAAATTTAGAGAACCTTTTAGCATTAATATAGTTTACAAATACAGTGTTAAATTGTTTCCCATTTTTTAAATACTGACAAAAGTTTGCTCATTTTTCCTTCAGGTCACCTGACAATAGGTATATGTACAATGAGAAATAAAGAACACTCAGCCTAAGGTCAAGAAAACTATCTACAAATTTAATGTTATAATAAGAATTTTGCCTTTTATTTTGTATTTGTTGATTGCTACTATTTTTTTTGGTGCAAAGTTTGAGTGTGCTTGTGTTTTTAAAGGTGGTGGACCCAGGAAAAGAAAAATATCTTCCTCTTCAGAGCCATATGAGGATGATGAATTTAACGATGATCAATCTGTGAAAAAGAAAAAAGTGGATCAGGTAAGATGCATCTTAATTGCAGCGTCAAACTCAGCTTCCATGAAATGGCAAAGCTTTATCTGACCTCATCTAACTGCACAAGAAAGAAGAAGAATTTAACTCCTTATCAGTCAAAGCCCCCCCCACATTTCATTATTATTCGATATCAACTGCTTCTCCCACTATATTATACCTCTCTCCTGAATTCAATAATCTGTTGCAATGACCTCACAGAAGTCATAGGCAATACTTAGAATTATGGGGGGTTATTAGGATTTATTTGTAGGGTCCCTGGAGTGTAGTTATTACTTGTTGGACCGCCATCCTGAAGGTCAGCAGTTTGAAACCACCAGCTCCTCTGTGGGAGATGGATGGGGCTTTCTACTCCTGTAAGAAGTTACAGTCTCGAAACCCACAGGGTCAGTTCTAGCCTGTGTGTTACTATGAGTCAGCATACTACTCAATGATAGTGAGTGGGTGAGATTAGGGAAGTTAATGGGTTACCACAAGTCATCCTCAAACATGAATGGTAGACAGGCACCCACAGTAGCATCTCTCCTTAGCTCCAGCCAAGTTTTTCTGGTTCTCACTTTATTAGCCATGTGGTCCCTGCTGTTCCTGCCACTTCAGGTAGGGATTTTTGATGTGCTTACTTAGTGGCTCTTGTTTCTTGATGGTCCTGGGAATTCTCCTGTTACTGTTTCTAAGTTGGCTCGTTCTTAGACATAGAGGAATGGCTTTGATAGAGTTGTGAATTTTGTGTATCAGCAGATCGTACCCCTCAAGGCAACAAAGGGTAGGTAGTGAGTACATTCCACTGTAATCCTAGCCATTAGCATAACAGAATGGTATTACAACACAGATATAAAACCAAAACCAAATTCCTTATCATTGCTCCTGAGGGTCTCCAAGAATAACTCCTATGGGAATAGAAAGTCATTTTTCTTTTATGGAGCAGCTTGTAGTTTTGACTGCGGACCTTGAGGTTAGCAGTCCAATGAGCAATCACTATGCCACCTGGGTCCCCAACGTCACAAAAGAGAGTCTAGCTAGAAGGGTCATGTGAATTGACCACATCTCAGCTGCATAGCAAAGAGTACAGAGAGTCTGGATATCAGGCTCTAAACTCCACGTCATTAATATTTTTTTCTTTCCACAGCAAACTCAGGGATTTGGGTTTGCATTTAATTTATAACTTATTTTCTGGGAAATTTTATCTAGGATTAATGGTTTATCTCCAAATTATAAAGATTTAAAAAAAATAATTTTATTGGTGGCTCACACAGTTCTTTCCACAATCCATACATCCATCTATAGTGTCAAGCACCTTTGTACCACTATCATTTTATTGCCACCATCATTTTCAAAATATTTCCTTTCTACTTGAGCCCTTGGTATCAGCGCCTCTTCCCCCCACCCCTCCACTCTCCTTCCCTCATGAACCTTTGATAATTTGTAAATTATTATTATTTTTTCATGTCTTACACTGACCAGTGTCTCTCTTCACCCACTTTTCTGTTGTCTGTCTCCCTGGGAGGGGGCTACATGTAGATCATTGTGATCAGTTCTCCCTTTCTCCCCCACCTTCCCCCTCCCCTCCTGGTATCTCCATTCTCAGTATAGGTCCTGAGGAATTTATCTGTCCTGGATTCCCTGTGTTTCCAGCTCTTACCTGTACCCACGTACATGCTCTGGTCTAGCCAGATTTCTAAGGTAGAATCGGACACTTGATGATAGTGGGAGGGATGAAGATGTTTTTGGGTTTTTTTGGTTTTTTTAAATCATTTTATTAGGGGCTCATACAACTCTTTTTTTATCATTTTTTTAGGGGCTTATACAACTCTTATCACAATCCATACATACATCAATTGTGTAAAGCACATTTGTCCATTCATTGCCGTCATCATTCTCAAAACATTTGCTCTCTACTTAAGCCCCTGGCATCAGCTCCTCATTTTCCCCCTCCCTCCCTGTTCCCCCGAAGATGTTTTTTTAAGGATGTTTATTGTTTATTTTATTCTTAGTAAACAGTTTTATTGGGACATAGTCCTAACAACATGCAATTCAGCAGTTGAGTAATATCAAAAAGTTTTGTACATTTACTACTCCAATCAGTTGTAGAACATTTTCTTCCTTATTGTACATCCCATTTCCTCCCAACACCCCCCTCCCAGACCCCACCCCCGCACCTCATTACATCCAAGGAACCCTTAATCTAATAACTGGCTAAGGAGAGTTGCACATCCTGGGTTTTATATACCAAAAAAAACAAACTTAGAAAAATATAAAATAGAATCAAAAAGCTATCAACAATAACAAAACGGAAAAATCCCAGTTGGAAAGAAAACAGAGTATTAAAAAGTAAAGCAACCTTAAAATGGGTCAAAAGGGAGATCAAATGATAAGGCACTAGATTTTAACCTAGCTACTTCTGTCATAATTCACTTTCCAATCCATTCTCTATGGTAGCAAGGTTATCCCTGGTTCAGAGTGGTACGGTACGATACAGGAATATTTGGGATAATATATTTTGAATAAAATTTTACTCAAAACATGGTGAATAAATTAACATTTATTCATAAACTTTAATCACTTATAAAACAATAAGCAAACATAAGCTGCCTTGCCTTTCTATTTCCCAGAGATAAATACTTCTGGATAATTATGGAAATTTACCTTTATATCTGAAAATGATCGTGGTTCTGATGTTGGTGGGTTGCCTGAGCTTTTCATTAACTTTTACTCCACAAATGGAATTACTAAGAGGCGTTTCAATGAATCATTTGTTTTTCAGCCTTCCCTTTCTACATTAAGAAAGATGAGATTTTCTCCTTTGTAGTCAAAATCATAAGCAGTGAAACTAACTAGTAATTTCTCTTTCTCTCTCTCTCTCACACAATTTTTTTTTTTTTTTGCCTGTGAATTAAGGGCATAAGAAGCCCAAATGAACAGTTGGGATGTTACCTTGTGAAACGCATTCTTGGGACTAATGTTGATGGGAATTAAAACTGTACTGAGGGTTTTAAGGAGTATAGGGCAGCCGTAATGTAAGAGACTGTGACCACAGGTGCATTTCCAGCCCCATGCATAATGGCTGTGGAAGAAGTGGCATCACATATATATTCCTGGTTTAGATCGTGTACATTGCATATACATCCTAACTTTAGCCTAGTTAAGCTCACATGCTGAATGCTCCACAAGCCACCCTACTGCTCTTTACATCATCTACTCCTAAGTGTTGCTTCAGACTTGAAATCAGTGAGCACTGTGTGCATGAAGTACTTTTCTTCCATTGAATTAGCTCCCTAGTTAGAAGCACTGTTGTGTTCTGGAGTGCTATAAATGTGAATAAAGCTTTCTATAAACCTGTATGTAAAGGTGTTAGTAAAAGCATTTGGATAGGGAAGGTAAATCATACTCAGAGTAGTTATCTACTACTCTCTGTCCTTTGATGAAAGTTTCTCAGTGTAATTAATCATAACAGTCTTGAAGAATGGTACTATGTTGTGGACTCATTCTTGGCCTCTGCTCTTGGCAAGTTGGATATGCCCCAGTGGTGATAACTAAGTAAATCATGGTTTGGGCAGTTATATCTTGCTGATCTTTATACATAAGCTCCACCCCATGTACTGAGTAAGCATCCAAGTGATTGTGGCCTTGCTGATTTTCATAAAATGGATTTTTCTTACCTACTTTCTTATTTTAAATTTCTGTATAGATGTTCTCTGTTGAACATTCACACTGGAAATTATACAGATAACTTTCCTTTCATCACGTCTCAACAACTCACAAACTCTAGCCCTTTGAAGGCCCATATGTATAAACACACGTAAGGCAGTGTTTATTATGTTATATTTATTATGATATTTATGTGTTTCTTAGCTGTTTTTATAAAACTTTGCTACAATTTTTAATTGGGCTCTACTATCATTTTTTATGTCACTGATAAAGTTTTTGAGTATTTCCATACCCCTAACATGATATTTCTCATAAGTGTGGAAATTCTCGTGATTTTTATCGTGTGTAGCTTTGAATCTGTTTGGTTCCTGCTCCAATTTTTCCACTGGGGCTTGCTAGAAGCGTTCTACAGCATCTTACCTTTTACAGATTCTTTGTGAATCTTCTATCTGTGGGCATGAGACAATGACAGAGTGTACTGCTCCCTAATGTGAACTTGTCTTAAGAAGCCTATCAAATGTGCATTTTTTTCTTAGACGCAGGCAAAGTATAAATATTTATTTTTAACAGATCAAAATTTGCAGCGTTCTCTAAACTGGATCCCCACACAATTCATGAAAATGACGGGCCAGATTTAGGCAGTGGCGATTTCCTTTGCTTTGGCATGCCTGTATGCTATTCTTGTTCCTGTTTGGTGCCCGTGCCCCAGAGTTGGGTCCTGGCTCATTGTAACCCTCTGTACAACAGGGAAACACTGCCCAGTCCTGGACCAATCTTACAATCATTCCTATGTGTGAACCCATTGCTGCAGCCACCGTGTCAGTCTCCTTGAGGGTCTTCCATAGTTTTGTTGACCTTCTTTTTACCAATCATTTTTCAGCACCACATAAAAAAATCCTGTAACCACTAAGCAGTGTGTAAAACAGGAAAGGGCATTTTTAGCTTCTGGCTTCCCTCTTGCCACCAGGCAAGAGTCAGGCGTGCCTCCCCCTCCATCTTCCTCTACCCGCCAGCTATGCCTCCCATAACACTTTACTTTTCTTCTCAGTTCCATTCTCTGTTGCAAAGGCCACATCAAACTCACAGGTGATATTTAACAATTGCGGTGGTTTATTAGGGACGTTAACAGGTCAGAATTCGTGGACAGTAAGTGCATTCACTGGTGCACAACAGCCCCTCTCCGAAGCCAGGCGAGATGGGCCAGATTAGATAATTGACTACCTCTCAAACAGATTAAAAACTCACTGCCAAAGACTTCATGCCGACTCATACTGACCCCATAGGACACGGCAGAACTGCTGTGGATTTCCTAGACTAAGTCTCTACAGGAGTAGAAAACCCCTTCTTTCTCTGTTGGAGTAGCAGGTGATTTTGAACTTTGGGCCTTGTAGTTAGAAGACACTATGCCACCAGAGCTTCTACATCGCAAATAGTTACTCCGTATTTTCGCGTAGTAGTCTCTAGACTGATTTCAAAATAGCCAAAAAGCCAGACACAACTCAAATGCCCAGTACAAATGAATAGAGAAAAATTGTGAAGCATAGATAAAATGGAATATCAGTCAGCCCTAAAAAAGAAGTGCTGATGGGATGAGCCTCAAAAACAAGTTTGTTAATGTTATCGCTCACTCAGTAGGTTGACTTTACATACGTATTTTATCTTTTATATTACCCATTTTTATTTCATAGTTTAAAGTTCTTTCGCTGATGATGTTATCTTTTCTTGGACTATCTTTAACACTTCTTGGATTGCTGAGAGCTACCAGAAGGGAGTTTCCTTGCTCCCTTGTCAGGGAGTGAACAACAGATGATCATTAATTCTACAAATTAAAGGGGAAAAAGAGAGGAGTCCACTGTACCGAACTAATTCATTAACAATCCTACCATCTTTCCTCCTTATTTAAATCTGCCATCCAGTTTAGATACTTGGAGTTTTATCATTCTCTCAGTTAGTGTTACTCACATTTACCTTGGATCTCATGTTCAGCCCTTTTGCTTAGCCCAATCCCATCTGATGCTTGGTAGTTTTAAAGTAAATCCCCTTAGTTAAATAGGGATGTTAAGGGCTTTTTTTGCATATTACTTTTTTTCTTATACCAATTTTATTCTTCCTAGTGAGATACAATTGCTTCCTTATTAAATCTAGCCTACATTTTTTGCCTCTTTCTGGAAGCCTTGTATAATATATCTTTTCCTCCTTCTCATTCATATTTTCCATGATAGCAGTAATTCAAAACCATCAACTGAAGAGGGTTTTTACTCCTGTGAAGAGTTACAGTACAAAATAATAATAATTTATAAATTATCAAGGGTTCGTCAGGGAGGGCAGGTGGGGAGGAAGGGGAAAAAATGAGGAGTTGGTACCAAGGGCTCAAGTAGAATGCAAATGTTTTGAGAATGATGATGGCAACAAATGTCCAAATGTGCGACACAGTGGATGTATGTATGAATTGTGATAAGAGTTGTATGAGCCCCCAATAAAATGATTTAAAAAAAAAGTTAAAGTATTGAAAACTCACAGGGACTAGTCTACCCTGACCGTATAGGGTCATTTTAAGTTAGCATCTACTTGACAGTGAGTTTAATACACCCTCTCCCTAACCTTTGGATAGTTACTTGCACTGTTAGTGGTGCTATTTTAAGCCACTGTCCTCACACCACAACCCATCCACCCTCCCCCCCCGAAAGAATAAATTTTTCATTTCCTGTTTCTTTTCCCTCCATTCCATAACCTTGCTCTTGTAAAGAGTTACAGTCTAGGAAAACCCCCGGAGGGCACTTCTACCTTGCCCCGTAGGGTCACTATGTGTCCACATCGACTTAGTGGCACTGAGGGAGGGAGTGAATTTGGATATTAGAATGTGCTTCAGTTTGAGTTAGCTATGACTAACTTTCAATCGTATCCATTGCTTATTACCTTGGACAAGTTAATCAACACCTTTAAGCCTCATTGTACAAGTTTACAATGAAATTGCTGTGCAATGGAATAATAAGTCCGGCATTGACAATCTAAGAAAATATAAAAATTCAATAAATGGTATCACTTATAGTCTTCTCACTGGATATAGATGACGCCAGCATCTTTAAAGCATTTTGTCATCTACCTGTAAACTGCTGAAAGATTAGTTCTTAGATATAACTGAGCATGGTATACAGGGCTTCCCAGATCATTAAAGGAATATGTAGGGAATCATTTTCGGCAATATTTGTTTTAAATATTTCTAGCACAACCCTCAAATAGAATTCTCGACTTGCATGTGGGAGACTGAAGTTTGATTCCTGGCCTACTGCTCTTCATGTGAAACCAGCTGTTCTGGGGAGACTTGTATGTTCGGATACTGAACAGATGTTAGACTAAGTGTCCAGAGTAAGGCAGAGTAGAAAAAAAGGCTTAGCAACTCAAAGTTCTTGAACCACTGATGATAGCCCTTTGATTAAAGAAAGGGGTCAACAAATAATTACTAATTATTAAAATGTACTTGTATTTAAAAGGGAAAGAAAGCCTTGGTATAGCACTGTGTAGGGAGCGTTACATTTTGTTGTGAGTGGGGTCACTTTGAGGGTGGGTCGGGTGGACCGAGTGGACTTCGACAACCATAGTAGCCACCCGGACCCATGTTTTCAAGATGCTGGTTCTTGAAATGACATTAAAGTAGATCAATCAATCTCAAAAAAAAAAAAAAAAAATTAGTGGAAAATGCTTACTAAATCATTTTAAGCACTGAATACAGTTTGAGTTAATGGATAAGTAATCAAGGCCCTTCAATAATATTAAAGCAGCACAGCAATATTTTTATTCTGAAGATGGAAATTGCCAATTTCATATTACCAAAAATAAGGAATTTCAATTATTCCAGATCAAATGTGATTTCCAAATCAAGTCAGAATACAAATGCAATTGCTGTAATAACATTGGTATTGAGTCTCTCTTTTTCTCATTAGGAAGAAGAAGCAAATGAGTCTGCAGAATCTAGCAATAATTGGGAAAAGCAGGAAAGTATTGTACTGAAATTACAAAAGGAATTTCCAAATTTTGACAAACGGGTGCGTGATCTTAATGAAGCTTTATCAATGGGCATTAAATGTTTGTATTGCAAAGTATTGTTCTGAGATCAACCATGTAAAACATCATTATTATTATTTAGTGTTTCATTTTTACATTTTCCCAGTTACACATACTTTTTCATTAATGTTAATTTATGCAGATTGTTTAGTCTTTACATTACTTATTTTTTATTAATTATCAGCAATCTAAGCAAAACTGACATAAGCTTAATAATTTTAACTCATTAGTATTAGTAAAGTGTAAATCATTAAGAATATCCTCTATAACCTTGCTATTCCATTAACAACTTTACTTTTTTCATAATAATCATCTATAAATTTATTGTAAGAATTTTAATGTAGATTATCATCTTTCATTGTCTAATATTTTGTTCTGTTTCCCACATTGTAAGAATATTTTCAATGTCACTAAAGATCTTATGGCGCCAGTGATTATATAGATATGTATGTACATAAACTTTGGAATGCTTTTGCACTTGTTGATTTATTTGTACATACACAGGAGTATATCTGCAGAATTCCAATGACCTAAATGCAAAGTGTTATTGCTTCTTTAGGTACGTTGAAACTGCATTTTAAGAAGTTCAAAGCTTGTAAAAGCCAAGCTATAGATTGAAGCTTTGTTTTTAATTGACCAGACATATCCTGGGGATCAAACGACCCTTTCACAGGGGTACCCCAATTCACAACAGTAGCAAAATTGCAGTTATAAAGTAGCGATGAAAATACTTTTATGGTTGGGGGGTTACCACAACATGAGGAACAGTATGAAAGGGTCGCAGCATTAGGAGGGTTGAGAATCACTGATTTAGAGGTTCTGAAAAGATTGTGTAACTGTGCCACAAAAGCCTGATTTGTGGCAGGGGGGGGACTGGTTTTCGCACCACAACAATGCACCTCCTTATGCAGCCATCTCAGTGTGCCAGCTTTTAGCATAAAAACAGCATGCCTCTCTTGCTCCATGCACCTTATTCACCTGACCTTGCTCCGTGCAACTTATTTTTTGTTTCTGGCAATGAAAAGGGGCATGAAAGGACAGTTATTTGACAGCGTAGAAGAGGTGTCAACCATCCAAACTGTCAGCTGTCAGCCATCCAAACAGATGAGTTTGAAGAATGCTTCCAAGACTGAAAGTGCACATTTGATAAACGTATCAAGTGTAATGGAGAGTACTTTGAAGGTGATAAGGTGGTTTAGTTAAAAAAAAATGAAATATATAGCTTTGGGGGAAAAAATACCAGGTTTGTTGGGGTATCCCTTTATATATTCAAAGCATGTGTAAATCAAGTGTAACAAACCAAGAAAGAAGTGTAAAATTACCACATAAAGTCTGTAAGTTTTCAGGGGATTAACTTATATCTTATAGAATATTAACATTTTCTTTCTGTAAGATTCTATTTGACTTTTTAAAAACAAAAATTAATGACTTATTTCTAGGAACTCCGAGAAGTACTTAAGGAACATGAATGGATGTACACTGAAGCTTTAGAATCTTTAAAAGTGTTTGCAGAAGACCAAGGTAATTAACTATTCTGAGTCTTTGTATATATAAAATATAGTCTTCTTTTTTTTTCTTTTCTTTTTAACATTTTATTAGGGGCTCATACAACTGTTATCCCAATCCATACACACATCAATTGTGTAAAGCGCATTTGTACATCGTTTCTCAAAACATTTGCTCTCCATTTAAACCCCCGGCATTAGGTCCTCATTTTTCCCCTCCCTCCCCGCTCCCCCCTCCCGCATGAGCCCTTGATAGTTTATAAATGGGTATTTTGTCATATCTTGCCCTGTCCGACGTCTCCCTTCATCCACTTTTTGGTTGTCTGTCCCCCAGGGAGGTAGTCTTCATTTTATATTGCATATTGTAGAAAACAGTGAAACCTACCAGTAGTCAGAGAAATTGTTATAAAAGACACTGGGATTGATAAAATTTGTAAATGGCTAGTTTCCAAATGTTTTGTCCAGTTTATTATGGTAGTGTGAAGCAAAACAATACATGAGTATCTTTTTCTATTTGGTCAACTTTCCCGGAGCCCACTCAGGAAAAGCCTAAGCCTACTTTTAAGCTAATGTGTTAACAGGTGTAAATGAACTTTTTTTACATGAGAACAGCTCTTTTAGCAGGATGGATCTTAGAGTTGGGGGTGCCTGAGGCTCACTTGAGTGCAGTGAATAAGAAAAGTACCTGCATCAACATTGGTGAAATGGATGTCCTCAGCATGAATGTCCCTGAACCCATCCATAGCAGGGTGCTCTGAACATTAGGAGTGGAATCCCAGATGAAGGGGCTCTAGAATGTTTGGGGGAAAAATAAGAATGAAAAAATAGTAGTATTTTTCCACCAATGCTTTGACATACTGGGCAGGCATTAAGTAGATTAGCTCTTCATAGTTGCAAAGCCAGCTTCAAAGTCTAGCACAGTAACTTTCAGATTTTCTTTTGATGGTTTCTTTTAAGAAATGCTCTTGATGGGACAAACAATGCTACTATGCACAAATGAGAAAGCCACCAGTGTCACCAATTCTCAGTGCCCAAAAATACTGGTTCAGGAGATATAGGCTGTGGATGTGAAGAAATGACAAGTTTTCTTTGTTGAGTTTCTTTTGCTTTTATTTCTTAAGTATGCATAAGACTATATAAATGATAATATATGCCTCACTCTAGAAGAATTAGAAAATCAATAAAAAATATCCCAAGTAATAGGAATGTGTTATATGAAATAATAGGCACTTTAAAATTCAATGAAACATGATCAATTCATGATAGTTTCACTGGTGGTAAATGCTTACTGCTTTTTGATAGTGTATATTTAAATACTTTTTCATAGAAAACTGATCTTAGAAAAGTGGAAGTAGTGGTAATAAAATAATATAAAAAACAAAAATGAATTAATGTAGATGGTTGAAGTAGTGTTTTCACTTGTAGAGCTCACAGTAGGCGGGGCATGATCTGCTGTTCCGTGGATGTGAGCACGAGGGTCTGGGCCGCGGCAAAGCAGCTGGTCAGCTTAGGGATGTGCGGCAGCTGTCAATTATGTTCTCAGGGCTTTTTTAGAAAATTGAACTTTATTTTTAATCATTTTTATATAACCTGCCTTTAAAACTAATTACTTGAACTTAACGTTTATACTTGTGTATAAGCCGAGTTTTCCAGCACATTTTTTATGCAGTTTTTGTGGTAAAATTAGGTGCCTCGGCTGATATTCAGGTATGTGCAGTATTTTAGAATTACAAATTCTGTTTTTGTATCTCTTTAAAGCGTATCAATATTTAACAATAAATTACAACTGTATTCTTCTGCATTAAGAAGAGGAAAATATTTAAATACTTATTTGAAGTCTTTGTATGTAGTTTATATATTTCTAATTTAAGTTTTTATCTTTCTTTGTATATAGATATACACTTTGCTTCACAAAATGAGGTCCCAAATGGAAAAGAAGTTTCCTCAAGGAATCAGAATTGCCCTAAAAATGCAACTAAAACAAAACTGAAGCAGAAATTTTCCATGAAAGCACAAAATGGGTTCAACAAGAAACGTAAAAAAAATGTATTCAATCCTAAGAGAGTTACTGATGACTCTGAATATGATTCAGGTTCTGATGTTGGTAGTTCTCTTGATGAGGACTATAGTAGTGGTGAAGAAGTGATGGAGGATGGTTATAAAGGCAAAATTCTTCATTTCCTTCAAGATGCCTCAATTGGTGAACTTACTTTGATTCCTCAGTGTTCTCAGAAAAAGGCTCAGAAGATAACAGAACTCCGGCCCTTTAATAGTTGGGAAGCTCTGGTAAGGCTACATTCTCTCTCACCCACCCCCGCCCCCACCCCCAACCTGTGATTCTGAGATGTAGATTTCCCTCAAATAGTCATCCACATCTTTCTCTTCCCTTCTCCCTCCAGATCTGCTTCCTGGGAGACTTGAACCCCCCTCCAACTGCCTGTCCCATTGAAGTGAACTGCCCCTACCCTGGATGCCCCAAAGGCACCTCACCCCCCGCAGATGCAAACTTGAACCCCGTTGTTCATCTGGCATCCTGCGCAGATGTCCCGCGCAGTGAGTTCTTCTCGCCCACACCTGCTCCTCTTGCAGCTCTCAGGAATCCGGTCAACAGGCAGTGAGCATGTACCGTGTGTCAGGTAGTGAACTGCATCCTGGTTTGCAAGGGTGAGACAACAGACCGTGCCCTAGCCACCAAGGACCTTACCACGTGGCTAGTGCAGAGGGATCGATCGAGGAGAAATTCATAAACGACTACCACAGCGTGATAGGAAGTGACCACTGTGAAGCGTACTGATGAAAAAAGACCCCCGGTACTGATAGGACCTGGCTGCAGTGCTGAGAAGGTACCCTTTAAGGAGGGGCCAGGTGACCTGAGGGCTGAAGGCTAAGAAAGAACCAGTCTAGAATGGCCACCAGCGAAGATGGAGAAAAAGCCCAAGGGC